AAGAAAAGGTTTCTATCAGTCATAGCTTTTATGGTAAAAAAAAAAAAAAAAAAAAAAAAAGAAAAGAAAAAAAGTAGTTCAGCAAGCATGGAATAAACTGAACTTTGGGGCTTATTTGTTTAATAAATATTTATTGAGCACCTAATATGAGCCAGGCACTGTGCTAAGTTCTGGGGGGGAGAGGGTACCAAGATGATCCTGAGATCAGGTTATCTAGAATAAATATTTTTCTTGCAGCACAAGTTCTAGAATGAGCACATACCACATGCAACTGTAAAGGTACGGGAGCATTAGACGGGTGACTGCCATTCTGTAAGAGCTGGACCCAGGCAAAATTGTACAAGCACAAAGTATGGTTTTAGCAACTCACCCCCCCCACCTCTTCTTTATGCATGCTTTGTTTATTTTCAGAGTTGTCTCGTTCCATGTTGGACTTTTGTCTCTCTTCATCTTCTTGGAGGGAATGGATGTGCTATGCTATTTTATACTAAAGTGTTAGTGACTGTTAAAGGGTTATTTCTTTGAGGCCAGAAATATGTGAGTGCTTTTAGATAGAGCAACACTCAGTACAATTCATTTTAATTAGGAGTAATTTCTAATGGAGGTACTTCATACACCTGAGGTGTTAGCACCGGAATCAGGCACTACTGCGGTCAATGGGCCATGGAGAAAGCCCACCAAGTCAGGACGTGTGTAGTGGCTTTCCCTGGGGGCAACCTCATGCCAAAGGGTCTCTACACCAAATAAGTTTAAGGTGCGCTAATGCCCTTTTGGTAAGAAGGAGCTTAATTTACAAAAAGGAAGTAAAACCTCTGATTTTCTGGAGTTAAAATCAATCGATGAATCCCTTAACGTTTTCACTAAAAGTGAGTATTAAGTCCAATATTTGAAGAATAAAACTGGCAAGAAATAAATTTGTCCTTGTTATCCGTCTTATTTATAGCTGAGCTCAATAAATTAAATTTATGAGGATTTAAAAATATCTATTCATCATCAGAAGAGAAAATATTTGTTTCTAGGATCTGGAGTAGCTGTCATGGGTGAGAATGGAGTGTGTGGTTTTCTCATTGTGCTATTCGAAAGCTCCTCGGTGCAAAATATTTTGATGTGCCTCACTGTTTTTCCTTCCCCTTTCTCATTTCCAAATCCAATAAAAAATATCCATTAATGCAATATTATCACTGAGACGTTAGAGGGTTGAGACATATAATTTTATGGTTCCCACAGCAACTGTAATGTAGTCATCCATCAACAGATATAATAATGCAAAAATTTAATATCATATATAGTAATTCAAGATATAAGGAGCTTGGGGAGTCCTTAATTTCCAGATTTTTGAGAATATGAAGTCTCGGCTATAATGTGGCATTAATGTGGTCTTTTGCATTGAATCAATGTCAACAGAGATACCAGACGCTTATTCCATAAAGAAAACACTGCAATAAAACCTGATTAATTTTTAATTCATTCTCCACTAATTTGGGATGTATGATCGTTCGCACAAGGAGGAAGGAAGATTTATCTTTGCTATGCCAAGCTTTTTCTTATAAATGGTGCTGATCAATTTTGCATATAAGGCGGTAGGAAGGAATCCTTAGACTACTTTAGAGAACAATCTGTTTGAAAGAATACATTAACATGCAAAAATTCATATGCAAATGGGAAGTCATTTTTATTTGTGCATTAAAGCAGATCCTCTCAGGATTTGCCCTAAGCATCAATTAGTTAGACAAGCTATAGTTACAGAAAGTTTAGAACTTTCTTTCCAACTTTCTACCAAATCAAATCTTTTAGCAAGTTCAGGTGGTTTTTTAAAATTCAATTTGTAAAGCTTTAGTGATTATGACTTCATAATTTAAAAAATTTGGTCCACTGGAAATAAAATAAAGGAATCCAACAGTTTATTTTAACTGAAATTTCCCTGATAATTTATGAATCCCATGATTTATGATAAGAAGAAGGCATGTGCCCTTGTATAAGAGATACTCTATGTAACTCTGCAATGATTCTTTTCAGAGAGCTAGAAAAAATTCATTATGGCCATGGAAATAAGCTTACTCAATTGTGAAGAAGAAAACTTGATTTCTGGATTATTCCATAACGTGGATTTGGTTACTGAAGTACCAAAAACATATGGCTCTACTTGTATGTAGAGGGAAACAGCCACAGGGGAGAAGAGAAAATTCTGATGGTTTTTTACTGTAATACTGTGTTTTTTAGGTCCAGTCTTAGAGACACAATTTTATCTATGAGGTAAACACTAACTGAAATAAAATGATAAGTGTCTTTGTGAACTGGTCAAGGCAATGACAGTTTTAATAATAATCACTGAAATCAAGTCTACCTTGAGATTGGAGAAAATTATTGTGACACATGAAACTGTCAATCTCGCACACACTACAGTCTCCTCTTCCCTTATCAGGGGTGTCCTACAATGGAAATCGGTATTGCCCTTATCAATTTGTTATTGCACTAGTTTCTGTTCTATCCTTGAGGAAAGAAGAAACAATGACCATTCCCAACCCATCTTCCTCTTCCCCGTGAGCGTCCTCCCCGGGACGCGCCTGGCTGAGCTCTCACTCAAGTACCTCTTTAGACGGCACACGGGATCCTTTCCTCTTGTTCCACCACGTCTCCAGCATGGCGATGAAGCAGGAGAGGACGATGCCGGCGGCCAGGATGCAAAACACCCCTGCGAAGCTCTTTATGTCCAGGGCACCTCCTTTCTGCTTTGTGTCCACGGATGAGTAGAGGTCACACTGGCCATTCTTAGGCCACCATTTGTGCTTCAGGATGTCCATGTCGCCATTCTGCTGCAGCTCCAGGATTCTTTGGGAGCAAGAACACAATCACGTCTTATTGCAGACAGAGTTATGGCCTTGACCCACACGCCTACAAGGGGATCTCAAAGAGTTCCCGGATGGGGCCAGCAGGTGGTGTAGTGGTTAAGGTGCTGGACTCCCATGTGGCCAACCACAGTTCAAGTCCCGGACCTGGCAACTTGAAACTCCTGCTGGGCACATGTGCATGTGGGCCCAAAATCCCAAGGAGAAAGGAGGAGAAGCTATTGCAGCATGACCATCCCCCCATGGGGTGATTCCTCACTTTCCCTCTCTCTGTCTCTCTCTCTCTGTGTTTCTGACAAGTACACATGCCCTACATTAAAAAATCTCTCTTAAAAAAAAAAAGAGTTTGTGGAAAAATGGAATTAAAATACGAGTTTACCTTGGAACAACAGAAAAAAGGTCCACGCATAGTTTTTTTTTTTTAATATATATATAATATGCATTTTCCGGGACAAGCTGTTGGTGTAATGGCTCTGTCGCTGGACTCCCATGTAGTCAACCGTGATTTGAATTCTGGACCTGCTGGCTTAAACTCATGCCAGGCGTGTGGGCATGTGTGCCAAAGATTCTGAGAGAATGGAGGAGAAGGGATTGCAGCATGGCCATCTCCCCTGGGGTTGATTTCTCACTTTTTGTCTTTTTGTCTCTGTCTTTCTGGCGAGCACACACGCCCTATAACAACAACAACAAAAAATCCTCTCAAAAATAAATAAATAAATAAAAAAATACATATTCTGTTGACTTTTTGAAGACTATTTGTACATTTATAATCCCCTCTCTAGGAGAGGGTGGCTGTCAGTGAAATAAAATCCAGAGCAGCTTGTAGCTGGGATGCTTCAATGCTAAAACATTATTGTTGTGATTCTTTTATTATTATTATTATTATTAGTTTTACTATAGGGCACTTAAGCTTGAGAGAGAGAGAGACAGAAAGAACCCCCAGGTGGGATGGGATAGTCCTTTCTCCTTCGTTCTCCTCTGGGGGGTTTTTGGGCATGCTCATACATGCCTGGTATATTTCTTAAGCACTGGGTCCAGGACTCGAACAGTGAAGTTGGACCATGTTGGATCCAGTGCCTTAACCACCACAGCACTGGACTGGCCCTTATCACTGTGATTTTACAGACCAAATTGTGCCATAGCGTTTCCTTTCTCACTCTGTTCCTCCCTTTCTCCTCTTACTCATCTGTTTCTTTTATTTTCATTCTCTAATTCTCAATATTTCCCCCAAATTGCTGCACCATGTTTTGACAACGACATCTTGGAGGTTCTGTTTCGATGTGGCTTCAAGCCACCGCAGTCCTGCGTTCCTTCCACATAGGGATGAAACTCTGGATCTTAACGCTTTTAGGAAGAACGTTTTCCTCTTAGAGTGAGAGGCTGGCATAATGTCACCCAGCATATGCTGCACACAGAGAAATTCAATTAAAAAGACTTCTATTATTTAACACAGTGTGGGAGAAAGCCTCGAGACAGGTTTGAAGTTGATAAAATACATCGTTTTTGGTTTTCCACACAACTGATCCAGTTTCCCTTTGAATGCCAAAGGGGAAATAATCTTACCTTGGAGAACAAGAAGAAAAGTTGACCAGAGGCTTTCAAAAGTCGTTAAATTCAAATAAGAAACACCCTTCTTATTCTTCTTTTTCTCCCTTCCAAATCTCAGGGTAACTGCAAAGTCTGCAGCTTTTTAAAGTGTGACTTTCACAGAAAAATCATTCCCAATTCCAAATACGCTTTAGACTGCACCTGAGACCTACCGACCACGGGCCCCTGCTCCACCATGACCCTTCTTGCAGGATGACAAAGGTCAGGACAAGGCTGTGCCTCTGTCTGGAGGGTACGCTATCCCCAGGGCTCCCTGGAATTTCCAGGTGTAATAGCTCAGTGTTCTTCCAGGCTTCTAGGCCAGTCCCCAGGAAGGTCCTCCTGAGAGCAGCTCCTACAGCCAGGCCAGGGTACACCATGGGACTACGGGTGCTGCCTGGGGAGGGTGTGGACAGAGCCCAGCTGTGCAAGCTCAGTGCACACTCCTTTACACGGGGGACCTTCCACTGTGCAGGATAGAGCTGCCGGTGGGAAGAGAGGGGCCAGGGGCTGACTCCCTGAAGCCCCTGCCCCTGGGTCAGTGCCGTTCTCCTGGTGATCTCAAACTAGAACCTTGAACCACCTAGGGTCCAGGAAGGTACATTTACCAAAATACAGCAATAGAGCAGGTTTTCTCGAACAGTTTTTAGCTGAATTTGCACTTTCCACATGCTTCGACGTTTGTACTCTTATCCTAGATCTTGAATTATTTGGGACAAGAATGCTTGAAACTTTAGAGAGAACTAAGTCATTCAGGATGGAGTTACTCACTTTCAGCGATAGATTGCCTTTTTACCTGCGTCATCCATGCGGCTGGATGAATGAGCAAATTGGTAAGGGGAGGTGGTTTCGGTGGGATCAGCGTTTGACTCGTGTTAGACAAGTGATGGGCTCTGATGGGGGCCTGGTCTCCCATCCCTGTCTCCCCTCAGATATGCCCATGGCCTCAGCCATGGTGCCCAAGCTGGCACCACAGGACTGACACTGCACCCCAGGGCTGACCCTGCACCCCAGGACTGACCCAGGGAAAACCATGGAATCATTTAAAAAAAGATATTATTTTAACTGACACATAATAATGGTACCTATTTATGGGTACAGTGTGATGTTTCAACGCATGAATACAAAGTACAATGTTCAAATTAGGGTAACTAGCATATCCATCACCACAATCACTTCTTGTTACTGGGTGTGGGGAGCATTCAAAATCCTGTCTTCTAGCTATCTTGAGATATACTAGAAATGATTGTCAACTGCTGCCACCCTTCTGTAGAACTTGCTCGGCTTAGCTGACGGTGAGGTGGTATCCACTCACTACCTCTCCGTATTCCCTCTTCCGTCCCACCCTCCTAGCCTCTGGTAACCACCATTCTACTCTCTACTCCATGAGATCAGCACGTCTGACTCCCACACGAGTGAGTATTTGTCTTTCTTTTTTTGGGGGAGAGGTTTTTGCTATAGGGAGCGTGCGCTCGTCAGAGAGACAGAGACAGAAAGTGAGAAATCACCCCTCGGGGGGATGGCCATGCCACACTCCCTTCTCCTCCATTCTCCTCTCGAGATCTTGGGCACACATGCATACGCGCCCGGCGTGAGTTTAAGCCACCGGGTCCAGGACTTGAATCGCAATCGACTACATGGGAGTTCAGCAACATAGCCATTACACTAACTGCTGGTCCCATATTTGTCTTTCTGTTCCTGGCTTATTTCATTCAACCTGATGTCCTCCATGTTCATCCATGTTGCTGCAAATGACAGCATTTCTTCTTTTTTAAAATTTCTAATTGGTTAAATAATATGCCATTTGTGTGTGTGTGTGTGTGTGTGTGTGTGTGTGTGTGTGTGTGTGACATTATTTATTCTTTATCAGTTCTTGGGAAGTCAGGTTGCTTCCTTTATCTTGGCCACCGTGAATAACGCTGCTGTGAACTTGGGCGAGCAGCGATCTCTTTGACATACTTTCTTTTCTTTGCATATATACCCAGAAGTGGGGTTGCTGGATCATATGGTAGTTCTTTAAAAACAAAAACAAAAAAAATGCCCTGCCAAGGCCTTGTTTATTCTTTTTGTAAAAAAACTTTGTAGGGACCAGCAGACAGCATAGTGGTTATGTTGCTGGACTCTCACATAGGTGACTACAGTTCAAGTCCTGAACCTGGCAATTCGAAACTCATACCATGCACGTGTGCATGCATGCCCAAGATCCCAAGGGGAGAATGGAGGAGAAGGGATTGTGGCAAGGCCACCCCCCTCAGGGGTGATTTCTCACTTTCTGTCTCTATGTCTCTCTCTGTCTCTCTAGTGAGCACATATGCCCTATAGCAAAAATCTTTCTAAAACAAAACAAAACAACAAAATTTTGCTATACGGTGTATGTTCTCACCATAGACAGAGAACAAGAGAGGGAAAGTGAGAAATCACCCCCAGGGGAGATGGCCACACCACAGTTCCTTCTCCTCCATTCTCCTCTTGGAATTTGGGCACACATGGACACGTGCCTGGTGTTTTCAAGCCACTGAGGCAGGGACTCTAACCACGCAGTCGGCTAGGTGGGATCCTGCTGCCTTAACCTCCACGCCCCCTCTTGGCCCAGTAGTTCAGTTTTTAGATTTTTTGAGGAACCTCCACAGTGTGAAACCATTTATTTCAATGCCCTCAGCTCATGTCCATTCGTTTAGGAACCGAGGATGGCCTGCGCTTTCTCCTCAGTGGGGTCTACGACACCTATCTTTATTCATGTACTCAGTCTCCTTCATTTCTCAGAACCTGGAAAATATTTTGGCTTTAAAAAGAATGATTGAAGAATACATATAATACTTCATCTACTTTGGTTTCTTTTAAAGTTTATTATTCATTTTTTCCATGAGAGAGAGGGATATATAGAGAGAAAGACAGCCCCCAACAAAGTCTTCATACTGAGGGCCATCCCCAGTCTCAGCTGGCTTGGGTCATGGGCCTGTTTGCACCTGGTGGTCTCAGGGAAGTCCTAGGATGTGAACCCAGGACCTTTCCCATGTGGGTACAGTTGCACCACCACCTGTTCTCTCATTTCAATGCTAATAAGATTTAAAGGCTTTAAATCAAAAGAATTACAGATTTTCAAGGCTCAGTTGGCTGCCTGATGGGAGTCTGCTGAGGGGAAAGGCAGAGGGCCTTCACTGGGTGGTGAAGCATCGTTGCACCACTGAGGTCTCCTCTTATGGTTGTCCTCGCAGTCACGGCAGCACAGGTGGCTGAGGTTCTGCTGGGAGACCCTGTGTTTGAGGATACCCAGAATGGCTGGACCACAGGACCCTTCGGCAAGCTCTGAGTCCCCACAAGGAATGCTGGGAGTACAGGCTGGCGTGGACAGAAGTGCAAGGGAATGAAAGTCCTCCGCATGGAGTTCTGCCGGGA